CCTCATGAACAAAAACACAAAAATTCTCAACAAAATCCTAGCCAATAGACTCCAACAACATATCCAAAAAGTAATACACCATAACCAAGTGAGATTCCTACCAGGTACGCAAGGATGGTTCAACATTAGAAAAACAATCAACATAATCCACCACACAAATAAAATAAAGGATAAAAACCTTTGTTTTTATGATCATATCAATTGATGCAGGAAAGGTATTTGACAAAAACCAACACCCGTTCTTGATAAAAAATGCTCAGCACAATAGGAATAGAAGGGAAATTCCTTTACATAATTAAGGGCATACATACAAAGCTAATGGCCAAACTTATTCTCAATGGAGAGATACTGAAAACATGGCCTTTGTGCACAGAAACTGGACAGGGATGTGCCACTCCTATTTAATATTGTACTATAAATCCTAGCCTGACAATAAGATAAGAAATGAAATTAAAAGACATCCAAAGTGGAAAGTAGAACTAAAATTATTTCTATTTGCAGATGATATGATCATATACATAGAAAATCCTAGAGACTGGAAAAGAAAACTACTGGAACTAATAGAAGGATTCAGCAAAGCTACAGAGTGCAAGATCAACATACAAAAATCAATTGGATTCCTCTAAACTAACAAAGAGAACTCTAGAAAGGAAATAAGAAAAACAATAACATTCACACAGAAACAAACTCAAGATGGGTCAGAGACCTAAATGTAAAACCCAAAACTGTAAAGTTAAACCAAAGATAAAATAGGGTTAAGTTAGGTGCCCTAATTTATTGCATAAATAGACTATGAAGCACATCCCAAAACGTACAAACAGCAGAAGATAAACTAGATTGGGACCTTCTAAAAATTAAATTCTTATTTGAATCAAAAGATTACTCAAAAGAGTAAAAAGAGAACCTACCGATTGTGAAAAAAAAATTTGGCAGTAACATTCAACAAGGGACTTATCTCTAAAATTTATAGAAGATGTCAACACCTCAACATCAAAAAGATGAACAATCCACTTCAAAAATGGGCAAAGGACATGAACAGACACTTCACCAAAGAAGATATTGAAGCAGCCAACAAACACATGAAGAAATGCTCACAATAATTAACCATTAAACCAAATAACCAAATGCACTGCCGTCAAGTTGGATCCGACTCATAGCGATCCCTCCTTGGGTTTCCAAGGCGCTATCACTATAGAAGCAGGTTGCCCAACCTTCCTTCCAAGGAGTGGCTGGTGGGTTTAAACCGCCAACCTTCTGCTCAGCAGTCAAATGCCTTAGGCACTATGCCACCAGAGCTCCTTTAGAGAGATGCAAATCAAAAGAATAATGAGATATCATATCACTCCAACGATAATAGCAAAGTTCAACAAGTCAGAAAACAACAAATGCTAGCAAGAGTGTGGAGAAATTGAGACTCTCATACTCTGCTGGTGGGACTGTAAAATGGTACAGCCACTGTGGAAAACAGTATGGCACATCCTTAAAACGTTGGAAACAGAAATTCCATTTGATCCAGTAATCCCACTACTAGGAATATATCCTAAAGAAGTGAGATCTGGAACACAACTAAATACATGCACACTCATGTTCATCACAGCATTACTTACAATAATAAAGAGATGCAAACACTTAAATGCACATCAACAGATGAATGGATAACCAAACTATGGTACATATAAACAATGGAATACTAGGCAACATTAAAGAATAATGAAGAATCACCAAATTATCTCATAATGTGGCTGAACTTTGAGGACATTATGCTGAGTGAAGTAAGTCAATCACAGAAGGACAAATATTGTATGAGACCATCATTATAAAAAGGCAGGGAAAAAATATCATTTACAATAGCCACCCAAATGATGAAATACTTAGGGGTAAATCTAATCAGAGATTTATTTTTTAAAAAAATGGATAGGAAGATTTAACATTGTAAAAATGTTACTTCTCCCCAAAGTGATCTACAGACATAATGCAATCCCTATCTAGAGTCCCTCATCATTCTTTAAAGAGATGGCAAAACTAATCACCAAGTTTAGATGTGAAGGAAAGAGACCCTGGATAAGCAAAGCACTGCTAAAGAAGAACAAAGTAGGAAGCTTCACATGTCCTGATCTCAAAACCTCAGTACAGCCACAGTAGTCAAACACAGTAGTTATACAATGACAGGCATATATAGATCAACAGAAGAGAATTGAAAACCTAGAAGTAAATCTCCATTGACTTATGGACAGCTCACTATTGAAAAAGGTCAAAACCCATTAAATGAAGAAGAGATAATCCCTTTAACAAATGGTGCTTGCAAAACTGAATACTCATTTGCAGAAAATAAAATAGGATCCATACTTCAAACCATATACAAAACTAACACATGATGGATCAAAGGCCTAAATGTAAACACTAAAATTATAAAGATCATCAAAGAAAAATTAGGGGCTAATTTAGGGGCCCCAATACATGGCATAAATACACTAGCAAACATAACTAAAAACACACAAACAGCAGAAGACAATCTAGACGACTGAGATACTTAAAAATTAAAATTTATATGTATCAAAAGACTTCACTACAAGAGTAAAAAGAGAACATACTGATGGGGAAAAAAATGGCAACGACAGATCAAACAGACTGATCTCTAAAATTTGTAGAAAACTTCAACACTCAACAACAAAAGACAATCCAATTAAAAGTGGGCAGAAGACATGAACAGCTGTTCACATAAGAAGACATTCAGGCTGCTTAAAAACACAGGAAGACATGTTCATCATAATTAGCCATTAGATGCAAATGAAAACAAAAATGGGATCTCATCACACTCCAGCATTAATAGTAAAGTTAGAAAAAAAAGATCCTGGCAAGGGTGTGGATAGACTGGAATCTTTGCACACAGCTGGTAAGATTGTAAAATGGTGCAACAACTATGGAAGTTCCTTAAAAATTGGAAATAGAAATACTGTATGATCTAACCATCCCACTAGTAGGGATTTATTCCTATAGAAATAAGAGTTGTGACACAAACAGATATATTCACACCCATATTCATCTTAGCATTATTCATAATAGGATAAAGATGGAAACAACTTAAGTGCCCATCAATGGATGAATGGATAAAGAAACTATAGTACATACACAAGATGGAATATTACAAACATTAAAGAATAACAACAAATCTGAAAAAACACATCATAACATGGATGAACCGAGAGGATATTATGTTTAGTGAAATTTAGTCAATCACAAAAGGATAAATATTGTGAGACCACTACTCTAAAAAGTCAAGAAAAGGTTTACACATAGAAAGAAACTTTAATGGCTAACAGAAGTGAGAGAAGAATGGATGGTAAATTTCTAACTAGAGGGTTGTTGTTGTTGTTAGGTGCCACCAAGTCATCTCCGACTCATACCGACCCTATGCACAGCAGAATGAAACACTGCCTGGCCCATGCCAGCCCTGCTATACTTATGCCCATCGCAACAGCTACTGTGTCAATCCATCTCGTTGAGGGCCTTTCCTTCCTTTGTTGACCTTCCACCTTACCAAGCATGACATCCTTCTCCAGGGAATGGTCCCTTCTGATAACATGACCAAAGTAGGTGAGATGAAGTCTGGTCATTCTCGCTTCCAAGGAGCATTCCGGCTGCACTTCCTCCAGGACAGATCTGTTCTTTCAGCAGTCCCTGGTACTTTCAGCATTCTTCGCCAGCACCACATCTCAAAAGCATCAATTCTTCTTCTGTCTTCTTTATTCATTGTCCAGCTCTCACATGCATATGAGGCGATTGAAAATATCATGGCTTGTTTCAGGTGCACCTTAGTCCTCAAGGAGACATCTTTGCTCCTCAGCACTTGAAAGAGGTCCTTTGCAACCAACTTGCCCAGTGCTATACATCAACTGATGTCCTGACTGCTGCCTCCATTGGTATGGATTGTAGAACCAAGCAATGTGAAGTCTTTGACAATGTCAGTCTTTTCTCCATTTATCATGATGCTGCTTATTCATCCAGTTGTGAGGAATTTTGTTTTATTTATATTGAGATGTAATCCATATTGCAGACAGTATTCTTCAATCTTCATCAGTAAGTGCTTCAAGTCATCATCATTTTCAGCAAGCAAATTTGTGTCGTCAGCATATCGCAGGTTGTTAATGATCCTTCCTCCAATCATACCACATTCTTCTTCATGTAGTCCATCTTCTCAGATTATTTGCTCAGCATATAGATTGAATAAGTATGGTGAAAGTATACAACACTGACACACACTTTTCTTGATTTTAAACCATGCAGTGTCCCCTTGTTCCTTATTCAAATGACAGCCTCCTGGCCTATATACAGGTTCTTCATGAGTACAAATTCCCATTCTTCTCAATGTTATCCACAACTTGTTATGATCCACACAATCAATGCCTTTGCATAGTCAATAAAACACAAATGTGATTTCATGACCTCCTAAAGGATTATGACAAACACTCTGAGTCCCTGGTACGTATTAAGCTCTTAATACATATTAGAGGAGAAAATACTGTATTTGTATGATGCTTTAATTTTTAAGAGTTCTTGCAAGAACACAGTTATTATTCATCTTCACAATAACTTCATATAAAATAAAGAAACTGAAGTCTAAATGATTTACCTTACTTCTCTAACTATTTTTGAGAGTTTCATGTCTCAATGGTTTTATGTGAACAATAAAAAATTTAAATAATGATCATCACCCTACAGCATATATACCTTGACACCTAAAGCACCTTTTATATTCTCTTTAATGATTTTATTTCAGAATCTTATTGCACAGGAAATAATAATAGTAATAACCCAAAAGAGAGCAAGCCATTTCTCTTAGGTTATGAAATATACTATTTCTTCATAGAATTTTCCCAATAGATATTCAGCTTTTAGAATAACATCCAAAGTATATTTATTATGCCGTTCTTAAAGTAAGCTAATCACTAAACACACGTTTCTCTGAAGACACCTTAAAATCTTTGCATTTTATTCTCTAGTGCTCTTGGACATATTAAAATAGCCGATGTGAATGCCAACGGTTTATTTGTGAAGCTCATTAACTCTTCCCATGACAAAGAATTGGAAATTGGAGATTATATTCTTCAGCAGAACTTGAGTGGCCAGACAGTTGCTTTGTACCGATTCCTTCCAAATGTTATAATGCAGGCCAATTCCACAGTAACAGTGAGTATAAGATACAAATACTATGAAGTAGAATTGTACAGGGAAAAACTCATTTACATTGTCAAATAGCTCAGTACCAGTGTTCGTCATCACTAGATCTGTACTGAAAATGTGATTTTTTTGTTGTTGTTGTGGTTGATTAATTGTGCCACTTTGTCCATCTTCTAAGTATAAATCAATACCCAGAATCTATTTGCCTCAATTTGGTCTGCAACACTTTTTGCCTTTAGGATTTAACTATTAAAATGAAATATCATAAGTAAATAATCCTTTTAAGGAAAGCAAAGAGATTATTTGCTTAGAAGATAGGTACTTCCTTCATGCTAGAGGGTCTCCTCTCTCTGCATTTTTCTTTATACCTACAGTAGCTGTTCAGTGTTGGCACAGCTTGACATTATATAATATTATCACATTTTAAAACCTCATCTGCTCAAAATATGTTGCAATAACCCTATGACATTTACAAAACTATACTGAACTCCAACATCACTGGCATTAACAGACTATTTATTTTCTTCCAGGTGTGGGCAGGAGCATCTGAAGCAAAGCATCAGCCTCCCTCAGATTTTCTTTGGAAGGAGCAAAATAAGTTTAGAGCAAGTCCAAATTGTACAACAATTCTGTGCAAACCTAACGGTGAAGTCAGTGTCCTGTTCTTAACAATTGTTTCTAATATCTTGGGTAGCTCTCTCTATATTTCCTCACTCGATTATTTTCCATCCTCAAAAGCTTGGATAAAACCATCACATCAGCCATGTCAACAGCACCATTTCTCTAGTGTCAAAACTACCAAAGAGTTACATTCAATTTGAAAAAATAATTTTGATGTCCCATATTTCCAAGAAACTATTTCAATTTCAGAGTCAATGAATATGAATTTAATTTGTAATATGTAGCAGTGACACTATCAGAGGGGTAACCAAAATGACTGTCTACAAAATTTTTGTGTTTCAGCAGAAATTTATTATTTTTAACAAAAAAAAACTCTGTAGTTAGTTGTAACAACAAAAACATTTTTCATAAAGCCAGTTGGCATATATCAATCAATATACCTACAAGGCTAAAACTCTATACTAGTTACCTTTTGAACCTTCTAAAGCACTCTGGTCAGAGCTGTCATTATTACCCAACTAAAACGATGCTTCAAATCACATGGTTTTGCCTGCAAGCACTACTAGTAAGCACTGTTGTTTTTGTTGTTGATGGTGATTGTCTATTGGCTGATTTTGTCCATTTTTCCTGGTGTTTTAGCTACAATATTGTGGTAATTAGTATTTGTAAATCTATATCATAACTTTTTTGAGAATAAAGTAGTAATTAAAGAAAAGGAGAAAAATCAAAAAAATATTCTGCTCAGTTACTAATAATGTTGTAATTCAATGTAGGAAGATTTTATAAAATAATATTGTTATTAGTATTAATATAATCAAAGCAATATTATATTTAAACAAATTACAACAATAATTAGCATATATTATTCTATAATTTAAATTGATACTAAACATTACTAAAGGTTCTGGATGGTCTGGTATGGGAGAAAGTCCATGAAGGGAGAGAGACATCATGAGTGACCGCACTGGGTGACACCAGCTCTATTGACGCTGCTGACATGTAGCCTGAAGAGCAACATAAGAAAGGAAGGTACTACCTACAGGCCTTCCTGTTTGGTTATTCATTTCTTACCAATTTATTGTTATGATTCTCTATTCTAGGGACTGTAATAACTGGTAAGAATATAATAGAGGTTAAGACACAATCTCTCTTCTCAAAGGATTAAAACTGTAATGAAAGAGTTTGTAGTCTAATTTGTAATCATCTTATTTTATGTGCTATAACACTAAGTGTATTAGGAACAACTGTGAAATTCATTCGCCACATTTGGCATTTTGTGTTTTCACTCTACCTTTTCCATGGTGTAGTATTAGTGTAAGTATATACCCAAAGACACATCAGCAAGGTTTAAAGTTATCTCTTTTTAACATTAAAAGTTACACCTTTTCCAAAACCATTCTTAAATTTTTCTTAAATAGCTGTCTTTTTCTCTTATCATCAATCTAATTTACTGTCATATGACTAATATGTTGAAAAGGATCTATATCTCTCTCTGAATTTTTTCTTTCTTGCTAAATTACAGCTGATGCTTAGATAGGCTATGCCTTCAGAGTAGCTTTGACTAATATATTAATTAAGAACCATTTCATGTCTTATGGCTTTCTGTGAGAGCAAGTAGGTATCATTAGATGGGAGTACACTCATATGATGTAATCTAGCAGCCTTCACTCAGTTACCTTTAGCTCTCTGTGTGGCTCCAACTGAATTTTATAATATGCATGATAATTTTCACTAATGAAAGAAAAGAAGTTATACAATTCAAGTTATTCACTTAGCCCAATTACCAAAACCCAGATACCATTAGAAATCATTAGCAAAACCCTGATTAGGATCAAGGCATTCTAATCTCAGAACTAAAAGAGAGCTGTAGACTCAGAACAAAGCAGACCTATTTGGGATGTTTTATTTGCACATGCACTGTTGCAGGCACTGAGGGTTGAACTGAACAGATCAGGTCCCTGAGCTCCTGGGACTTACATTTTAGTAAATTACCATTCTCTGCAACTGAATTAAACTTTATGCTTAGACTGCTCCTTTTACCTGGTGGTTTCAACTGCTTTCCACACATAGGATCAGTTCATTTCTGCAGGGCGATGTAAGCACAAATAATTTTGTGTGTTAGTATAAAAGTAAACATAATTGATTGACTCATATGGAAAATATGCACATATATTTATTATCTGCCAAGCATTGTGCTAGGTCTTGGGAAAATGAACTTGACTGTTATATGATTCCTGTCATCAGGAAGCTCAGATTCAAGTAGTGAGAACTAATAAATAATAAATAATTGCAATACCAATAAAATAATACTTTAATAGAAGTATGTGCATAACGCAGGCCAGCCCAGGTCAGAGAGATCAATTCTGTAGAGAGTGTCAGGAAAAGCATTAGAGAGGAGACTCCTGCTGAGTCTGCAGGATGAGAAGGAATCAACCACTGACCTGAACCACTGTGGTCTTGCCTCTTTCTATCCCTGTTGCTCCCCTCTCCCCAAGCTTTTCCTTGCTCTCTGCTCTAACCTTCTTTTATTTTCCAATACTTAACCTGCTCTTTCAAGTCACAGGGCCTTTGCACATGCTCTTGCCTCCTCAGAGACTCTTTTCTACTTTTTAACCTATTAAAGTCCTACTTACCTTTCAGACCTCAGCTCAAGCCTTTTCTTTCAGATCACAGCCTATTAGAATAAACCAAAAAAAACAAACTCACTGTCACCAAGTCAGATTCGACTCATAGCGACCCCTCCTTGGGTTTCCGAGGCAGTATCTCTACAGAAGTAGATTGCCCAATCTTCCTTCCGAGGAGTGGCTGGTGGGTTTGAACTGCCAGCCTTCTGGTTAGCAGCAAATGCCTTAGGCACTATGCCACCAGCTCCCCTCCCCTATAGTAAAGCAATCAGCATTGTTTAATTTAATTCAAATACTTCCATTAAATAGGTTGAAATGTGACTTCTAGTCAATTTAAAACTCTAATGTAAGCCCAGAGTTATCCTTTTTCCACAAATTTATTCCCATTCTCACCTCAGTAACACAAGATCTCATTATCTGCAATTACCAGCTAGATTTTCCTAGAAAAGACAGTGTGCTGCATTCCCATAGGCATGCTGAAACACAGACAAAGCCAAGGTTTCATAATGACACTGGAATTGCTTTCTATGTGTATAACTTATAAATAGAAGACAACCTGTATCTTGTAGAAAAAGTCACAGGCCTGCAATCATCTGTCTGTATCAGTAGCTAACTCCACAGATTAGAACAGGTCATGTTTCTAGAGCTGAATAATACTTCTATTTTTCAAACATGAGGCAAAAAGAAGTTACATTATGAGTCATTAAAATAAAACGAAGTATAACAGACTGCTTTTTGAGCCATCTTATCACTGCCATGCAATAGTTAATATCTAACACAGCTACAGATCTTAGTGGTGTAATCTAAAGACAGATTTAGGTGCTGCCTGCAATGCATTAACTCAAAACCAAACTCATTGCCATCGACCTGATTCAGACTTATTGTGACCCTCACTGGTTCCGAGGCTGTAAATCTTTACAGAAGCAGAATGCCTCATCTTCCATGGAGCAGCTGGTGGGTTCAAACCATTGACCTTTTGGTTAGCAGCCAAATGCCTTAACCACTACATCACTAGAGATCCTTCATGAGTTAACTAGGTAATCCTTACTCTACTTTCTCATCTGTAAAATAACAGATCACTCAATATAATCACTAAGATCTTATGAGTCAATGAATTTTTTAAAATAGGGCTAGATTTTTTTTACCAGTTACATTTTGTTGTCCTATAGGAGCTCTGGTAAGGAGCTCTGGTGGTGTAGTGCCAAAGGCACTTGACTGCTAACCAGAAAGCTGGTGGTTCAAACCCACCAGCCACTCCTTAGAAGGCAGGTTTTGGCAATCTACTTCCGTAGTGATACCACCTCGGAAATCCAAGGAGAGGTTGCTATGAGTTGGGTCTGACTCCACAGCACATAATAACAATAGGATTTTTAAGGAATGTTGGTGGTGTAGTGGTTAAGGCATTTAGCTTCTAACCAAAACATCAGTGGTTCAAACCCACAAGGTGCTCGATGAAAGAAGGATGAGGCAGTCTGGTTCTGTAAAGATTTACAGCCTTGGAAACTCAATGGGGGTCGCTATGAGTCAGAATCCATTCAATGGCAATCAGTTTGTTTTTTTTTGGTATAGGATTTTTAGCTTCTATATTACATGTCAAAAAATTAATAGACAGTTTATATTTTTTCAGTCCCTGATATGTTCCCAATACAATGTTTTTTATTTAGGAATTCAGATTTGGCAAAGACCATTCACCCCTGTGCTGCAGAAGCATTGAAGGACTGTTTATATATGCATTATCTCATTTGATTCTCAGTAATATTTAAATATTTTACAAAGGAGGATAATTGTGGGGACTTTCTCAGAACCAAATGATTAGTAAAATGGCAAAACTGCAAGAAGACTAGATCGTCTATCTCCAATTTTTGTATCGTATGTACAAACAAAAATGTCTACAAGGCTCATATGGCTAACATTCTAGAAGTGAGATTAAAACCATTTCACACTATCATAATTATTATCACCATCATAAAACATTTTTTATGTCCCTATAACTTCCGTAGTGATACTGCCTCGGAAACCCAAGGAGGGGTCGCTATGAGTCGGGGCCGACTCGACGGCAAATAACAACAACAACAACAACATAATAAAGGGAGAAATAAGATAATTGCTTGTCTAGGAAAGGTTTATAATCCAGTTGAGGGAGACTACACTAAAAAGATAAATGCATGTTTTCAACACAAAAGGCTACATTTGAGCTGCTGAAAGAAGAGGATCCTGACAATCTGCGGCAAAAGTCGGATTTTACTGCAACGATCCATGAAAATGAATTTCTGAAAAAGGATTTCACCTTTTTCTTTCTCTGCTGTAGACCTATCCTAATTGAACTTGTGTTGCTTTTTAGGTCTGTTTAATTTATAGCATAAAACCTCTGACCTCTAATTTTATGAATTAAAAACTGATCAGCAGAATGAGTAAAATGTTAGCACAGTGGCATCAAGAGGGTTGATGTCACTCAATGGGATAACTCATGGTGTCACAGCCCCCACCCCTACCCTGCAGCATGCAGCCCAACTGACAAACCCCACTC